TCTCTCTCTCTCTTTCCTCGCCTTTAATTCATATTTGCCACCTCTTATTCTGTTTTCTCTTCAAGTTTTTCTTTTCGCTGATAATACCAATGCAGTAGCAAAATTCTTTTGTGGCATTCTATTTTCGTTCGCACGTTCGATTATTGAATAAATAATAAATTTTGTTTTGCTAATCTCTGTATGTTTTTTTGTGTTCTCCTGTAGCCACTTTTGTTTTTTGCTTCACCTGTTAAAGCAAAAATAATGTAGGCATACAACGCCAATGGGATCAATTGCTTTTATTATTATTTTATATTTTTTAAATGTTTACGCTGATTATCCCAATCAAGGCAGTAATACGTTGCGTCAAGGTCATCATTTGATAAGGACAATTTGGAAAAGAAATGCAGTGCGACAATATTTGTTTACTGATTAAGCAATTGAGCTGAAGAAAACGGAAAAATTATAAATGGATATAGTAAATATAGAAGGCTAAGGAAGTATTTAATGAGAAACTACAATCGAGTGGAGAATGGGAATAGATTATTATTTTGATAAAAAATTGGTAAACATATTGACAGCAATAACCCGACAGATTAAGAAAGAATATCTGAATAAGTTTTTTAAACTATAATTCGAATAACCATATTATATTTATTTTGATATTATCAGAAATTCAAAGAAATACCTTTTCCTGCATGTCACCGTCGTTTCGTTCACTATGCACAATTTCACATAATTGTTAATAGATATGAACTACTTCAAATAATTTACATTGTGAAAAAATAGCTTTCGTTAGATGTCAGTAAATATATTAATTAGTGTTTCAAATCAACTATTTAATAAATAGACAGATTAGTACATACAAAAATTAACTAAGTAAAAATCTCAATTTGCAAAAACTTGTCAAGTCTGCCTCTCACTATTCCATATCCGAATTAAAATCCGAATTCATTTCCATTCCCAATCAAGCATCTTTCACATCTGTCTTTGACCGTTTCGCATTCTTGAGTTTGAATTGCCGCTGCTGCTGCCATTGTTTATGTTATTAACACAACAAACAACCACTTAGCTTCGAAATTGATTTCAAGCATTTGGTGGGGTTTAAAAATAAACATCAAAGCGGGAGGAGCGGCGACGGACGGAAGCGCAAGTACATAGAGCACCGAGCACCAAAATGGCCAAAAATAAATATTGAGTTGGCTATTTTTAAACCGCAAAGCCGCGTATCCGTTCCTCAATTGCACGGCCACAAATTGAAGTTTCTATAAATATAAACATACATATATGCCAGATCGTATTTGATCGGATCGCATTGTTAATTGGCAGCGCTCGAGCGGATCACATTAAGTCTAGACTCGAGACAAATCGCTTTAAATAAGATCTTTTGACTTCAATTGTCCCAGTTTTGGTGGGGCAGTCTTATCTTTTTATTTTGTGATGGTTTGATCGATGTCAGAAATATAAATATTTAGAATATTAAAATTTTTCGTAAACTGAATAAATATTTTCTCTATAAAGATAACATTTTTTCTTGTTGCTCTGGTAATAATAATATTTTGTAGCTTTATTTGATCTTACTTCTATACAGAAGTAGCTCAGGTTGCTTTATGGGTGCGACTGTCATATCGCATTATTAATTATGCAGGCGAAATTATATTTCACCGATTTACCTAGTCAATTGAGTACAATAAGCATAGCACAAGTAATATTAATTTTCGCGAATGAATTTTGTTGTCGCTGCTGCATTTCCCAGTTCATAAATCAAAAGCTGGCGCAAAAGTATCTGACAGATACAAATAGCGAATGGAAGTCGTCGCCGTTGGCATAATGATGGCGGCGTATACGTTCATTTACACTCCATCAATTGCGTAGTTTACGGCCAAAAAGTTTGGGGGAGAGAGAGAATGAAAAAAACCCCCATCATCGCATGCATTCGTGTAGCTTAATCAGGAATCGTTCGAATACGCAGTTTTTGGCTTGTCTATATTTAGTATTATTATTTTAGTACTCGTGGGGCAATTAGCAAATCGAATGCGTAATTCTAACATCGCATATGCCATGATGCGGTGGCGTCGAATGTGTAACTATAATTGAACATGCTTGTCTAGTGATCAGCACACAATCAGAAAATATGCACATGCCTGTTTAAATTCGATCGGGCCTGCTCCTCCGGGGTGTTGAGCAATGGCATTGTGTTACCTAGAACATGGTAGATGAAAGCCAAAGCGTGCCTAAAGGAAACTTAAAGCCAATCAACAGATTTTAGTTTTAAACAACAAAGGCACGATATAATATCATGCATATTATATATTCTCTTACAGCCCAAATATCTGTTAGTATACAACAAAATAAACTATATTCAATAATGTGTTGATAGTGGATAACAATAACATATTCTAAGCTTTTCAACACAAGTCTACCAATCAATTTTCACCCCTACAACGACTTTTGTTTACATTTCCCATGTTCATGCACGCGTGCAGCAAGCACAAAATAGTTTCTAACGTCTCCCAACGCGCTGCCATTCTCGTGTGTTATTCTCTATACGCTCAAGTCATTAGGATGTTTATTAGGGGAAAACTAATTAAGCTAATGCTAATATTTGTCAAACATTGACGAACTTAAAAATATTTGCAGAGAAAAAAATCGCCGCCTTAGGAAAGTAATTGTACTCAAAGGAAACGTCTTAGAAACTTAATTTTAAACGCAATTGGATTCTCCTAATGCGCACTTTTAAGCTGGCGCCTTTAAACAGATTAGACGAGGCAAAGCCAATAATTACCCTCCATATATAAATATACATATGTACATTATATGTATCTCTAAGGTGGATCGGCCCGGAAAGTTATTAATATTATGCATGTGGGGCACAGACGTGATAAGACCCAATGTAGAAGAGACAGATATGTGAGTGCTCAGTGAGCTCACGTGAGTGCGATTTGTGAATGATTTACGACTGACAGTCTCGGAGTATATGTACATATGTATATCTTATGACTGTCTGGCATTGGACCCTGGATATACATATGTTATGTTATGTGATACCCCATTGAAGTCATTATAGCCTGCATACCCCACATGTGCCACATTCGCGATACTAAGATACTATATACATCTATATACTATCTATACATTGAATCGCAAATGTGCAAATTCAATTTGCGTGAACAGGAAGCAAACATAAATCAAGCGGCAACGCAAAATGGTGGGAATTTGAGTCTTGCAGTGGAGCCTCCAGCCAGGAAATCTTAGCAGTTGATCAATTTAAATGGCCCGCCACTGGAATTACACACGGGATCCGAAGTCCCATAGTCATGGGCCGCATTAGTAACTTGGCCATAACTTTACGCGGCAACGACAGCACCTTGCAAGTGCGATTGCGAATGGAAATAAACATAAAGCCGCTGAGGTCGGGCCACACACATGGCCACAGTGGTCGAGACTCTTCCGAATTGTTTGGATCTATCGATTTTTCAGCTTATTAAGTATATAGAGACCGTTAAAGCAAAGACAATATGAATGAATATTATGTGTAACGACATAGATAAATTTTTATATGTCAGCTCAATTGTATAATTAATCCTATTATTTTTATACCTATTTTGATTTTTTGCTATCTCCGTGATAATCAGCAAATTTCTATAAATTAAACCTAGATTCACTTTTTACAAGCATTTTCCCCGATTTGCGTGCCACTGTTCAGCGTTCGCAGTGCCTCAAATAAATGTTTATCAGTCCAAAGCGCACAGCGATTATATTGGCAATTATATCGCCACATCGGCGCTTCGCACGTGACCAGTTTCAAGTTCAGCGGAAGAAGGCAGCGCAATTGTTCGGGGAGGCACAGTTCCCGCCTTCCCCTGAGGGGCAGTGGGAAGACACAGAGCGGGCGGTGGACTTTCCGTTCAAAGAATGCTTTCAAGTCTTATCTACGGCGCAGGTGACTGCCGTCGCGAAGGGTGGGCAGGTGAGCTGCTCACTCAACGTGGCACATGTCAAGGCCAGCAATGGCAAACTTATGCAGGCCAAAGTTCCATTCTCAAGTTTAAATGCTGAGGATAGATGCAAGCTGGATTAAACGGAAAGTACGGACAAGTTACACAAGTTCTAAGGCATTTTTTTACCCGCTGTGCTGTGCTACATAAGCGTTATTAAGGCAGCAGGATGGTATAATTTAAACACAAAAACCCTATTTCGACCTAAAACTTTTGATTAGCTAGATTTAAGATTACGTTTTTAAGAAAATTGATTAGATACATAAAGTTATATAACTTTATCCAAATTATCTCAGAAAAGAATTCCTTGGATTCCCTGAAACGTAATACAAGACAATATATAAATAAGCCCAAGAAATAATTTTAACAAAATTTTACAAAACTAATACATTCATAATTTACTAATTAAAACTAATCGTCGTAAATTACTCCCCAGGCCATCCCTTCGTAACTATCATTGTAAACAATCAACATATATGAATGTAGTTGTTGTTGTCATATTTTTTTTTATTTATCGATCACTTGATTTATGTGCAAGTTCTGTTGATATTTTTAACATTTGTCTGATGAGTTTTCTATTTCTATTTTTCGCCTCAAGGCAATGCTTGCTAGCTGCCTGCGGAGGGGCGGCGATGCGGCGCCCACAACTAATACATTTTGAGGTGTATTTCATAAAATGGCATTAAATGGAATTTAAGCTGCCAAAACAATTCATATGTATTTTTTATTTGAAGCGAGCCGAAGCCAAAGAGGGAGGTGGTATAAAGGGGCAGGCATATGACGTGGCGAGGCCACGTGATTCCAAATCAATTATGTTACTGAGCTCAATATCTCTATAAAAAAAAGAAAAAACCTGGCGTCAACATGACGGAGAAAATCAAACTAAAGTTTAAGACTTGAAAAACAAAAAAAAAATAGTTTCTCAAACTAAGTTTAACGAGTTTTTACTATTATTTATTACCAAAATTATACCAAAAATAGTTTTCAAATTTTAAAATTTTTCCAATTCGTTTTCCAGTGAACAGAGCGAAGGAGCCTAAGCATACAACGAGGAAGTCTGAAATTTCCAACACAAGTGCCGCCTGCCCGCTATCGTCCAGCACCAGCTCCAGCTCCACCTTGGGCGTTGGCGCCCACTTCGGATCCCGCTCCAATGCCAGCTGACATCCCAGCTCCAGGCCCGCCCTCTGCCATATCAGCGCTTGCACCGCCCTGCGCTCCAACTTGACCGCCGGCCCCTGCTACTGCTGACATTCCGCCCTGTGCGGCTCCCATGGCATCGGGCGGAGGCCCCGGGACTTGAGCCTCAGCCATGCACTAATTAAGGAAAATATGCATGGGTTTAGAGACGGTAAGTAAATCACAGAACGCATTCAAGTGGTTCCCAAAAGGCTCATGATTCATGGGGGATAAAAGTGATTTATTTTGATCAATTTATTTTGAAAGGAAGTAAGCTTTCCTTAAATTTAATCAGGATTTTTGAACAAAAGGAAATTTAATTTGATCCCAATCCTCTTAAAAACCAACTCCCGTGTAACGATATAAATCTCACCAGTAGCACGGCTAAAGTAATCGAGGATACAATTGCCAGTTTCATTTTTAAAAGAGAACACTTTTCCTGCCACCAATGGAGGTAGTAAAGAAACTATAGATCCCTGTCTGCCGTACTCAAAGCTTTATATACCAACCAGCCCTGCCATAATGTCAGCCAAATCTCACGGGAATCGCATACTTTGTATTATCCAAAACACAAATCTTACAGTACTCGAAAAATTCTTAACAAGTTAACACAACAACAACACACATCGTTCCGTTTCTCCTTGGACCCGATTGCATCTGCCGTAGCGTTGTCTATTATAAATTATTAATAAATTATATTGTTGACAATCGTTTAATTGTGCTCCCGTGTACCGTGCATGTTTCTGGCGTGAGTCTATTAATAAATAACTAAATAATTAACCAACGACCAGTTCAGTCCAGTCGAGCAAACAGTTTAATGATGACATTGTGGGCCGCAGCCACAGTACTTTGTGTTATTGTGGGAAAATTATTGAGTAATTGTGCAAAGTACAAGGTCAAATAACAAATGAAGTACACAAAGGCGTAATCGAACTCAAAAAGGAGCAAACAACTTAATGTCATGGCGAATTCGCAGTAAAATATTAATGCACTTTTAAAATCAAAAGAATGTAGAAGACTTCTCTTCGACTCACAGAATCATTCATCTGAGCGACAATAATAATTTGCTATAAACCTGCTAGTTTTAAGGGCAATTAAGAGTCATGCAACTCATGCTATTGAATAATATCTGATTCAGTCACTTAACACCACTACTTGTAGCTTAGAACATTTAAAATAAACAACATTTAACAGCATTGTCACCAAAATATATACATATACATATGTATACATTCCTTATTGTTTGGCAAAGGACAAAAGTCTGACGTTAACTTTCCGTAGGCACTGTGGCTATAGGGTAATGAACATGACCAAATAATCTCGACTCAACCTGGTATATAGAATATAAAAATAGACGATTTATTAGAACTCAGAAAAAATCAGCTTATCTGTAGAAAAAACATAATAATTTAAAAACACTTAGTTTTCTTTAAAACTGAATTCTTTAAATCTATTCAGTGGAACAGTTATAAAAAAGTTCTTGGAACCAAACAAAAAAAATCAAAACCTATAGAAATTTAAGTAAATAAATTCAAATAATTGATTTATTACTACTGCATAGTACTGCAGCGACCTCGCACAAATAACTGCAACAATGATAAACAAAACAATTCCATTAAACAACCGCAGATACACACGCTTATGCACACACGTATACATACATACATACGTAATTACAAATGCAATGATTTTTAGAGTTAATTTGTTTATTTGCCATGCTCATATTAAAAATTAAGCACAGAAAAATAAATAAACCGCTTGCCAATTTGCGAAATTCAACTGCATTCAGCAAAAAAATACCGCCAAAACAAAAGTCCCCCACACCCCTTACATCCCCATGTATAAGCCAACACATATCGTATTTATAAACATCGTTTGTCATTGTTATTTGCTCATCTGTGGGTGGCCGCAGTAACGGGCTATATTCCCCGATTATCACGTAGCTCAATAAAAAAAAATTAAATAAAATAATAATCGAAAACAAAAAAAAACACTGCGGAGGCAGTGTTTCTATGGCATCATTAAAAATTAAATCAAAATTAAATGTTCATCAAATGCAATAAAATCGATTAGCGCATGCGTATCTATACACTTTTTAGGTAATTATATACATAGGTACATATGTATATAAGTATATAAATTTGTGTGAATTTATTTGATTTATTTTTTAAATTATATTTCTTTGACTTACCCCTTTTTATCCAGCACACTTGTATTGAGGAAGTCCATTTGAGGTTTGTGCATTATATGTGCTCTGTAATCGTTCGTTATCTTCTTTTTATACATTTATTTTCATTTTGGGATCTGTTTTGGGGTGGAATAAAAAAAAGGGTTAATATTCTTGTTTTTAAATTTTCAATGTTAATTTGTAAACAACATTTAAAATTACCGAAAATTAACTTATTTACAACTTAAAAAGGGGAACATAAAGAAATTGTGGAAATCCCGCCTCTCAGCCGTATATCAGGCGTATCATGCTTATTTTGCGGTTTATTTTCTAAGAAAATTTGACGCGTACGTGTGACATATTTTCTGGAGGCGCCGCCGTTAAGACGAAAGCCAAACAAAAACAGCAAAAGTAAAACAACACAACAAGAGCAACAAAAACGTTGAATTGCAAGACAACAGTCCCACATATATAGATTATACAAAATGACAGTTGTCGTAGGTATACGAGTTGCGTCGCCGTCGCCGCCGTCGCCACTTTGGCATTCAAAGCATCGGCGCCGCCGATGGATTGTCCATTGAAATTGTAAGTCCCCGGCCAAGTATTTGCCTTCGGATGTAAGCGGAACGGAACGGAGAGCAGCCTCGCGTCTCGTCAACAGAATCTTGGGACGTAAATGATTACAAAGAAAAAAACACAAATATTGAATACTGAATATTGGCGATGCTTTAACCCATTCTTGACGCAATTGCTTAAAAACGGACAATACCCTAAACTAAGGAATCTTAAGTGTAAATTGAGAAACTAAAAATACAATATATACATTATAATTAGAATACATAAGAATACTTGAAAACATTTTAATATAAGTTAATCTATTAATTTGTTTACCTCTAACGCACGCAATAATTCTGTTTTCCCCGTGAAAATTCTTCAATTATTTTTATGAATATATAATGTACAAAACTTCAATTTTTAACGCCCTGATTTGTTTGGGTTACAGGCTTTGCTTACCTTTATTAGCAGATTTTTTTGCGTAGGCTGACGGCAATCGATATTTTATGATCTGTGCCCTGTTCTTAAGTTATGCACAATTTAAATACGTATGTCGTATTCGTATGTATATTTATATGTATGGAACACAGACCACGTTCGTCCAGGCGGATAATTAGGTTGCAGACCACCCGCCCCCGCCCATATTGGCTTGTGGGCGCTCACTAATTGCCACGTCAAAAGAGCGGGAGGGGAGGGGCAGCAGAAGTTGTGTTTATAAAGCGGAAAATGAAATTATCATCGCACGTATTCAATTATCCTGTAATGAAGTGCTGCTACAGCAGCAGCAGTCTCGTCGCGTCCACAGGAGCACACGCAACAGCTGTCTGGTGTCCGCAGCTTACTCACTTGCTCTTGCTTATTAGCCAAAAGATCCACATACCCAAGGTGCCGCAGGCGAAACTGAAAAGTCACAAAATACGCTTTAATCTTTGGTGCTTCCACGAAATATTATAAACCGCACTTAGACTGCACTATCATCTGTATATTTCAAGACTTTTTGAGTTATTTTATCAAAGGATTACACTAAAAACTAATTTTTTATTTCGGCAATGAAAATCACACACACGCGGAAGAAAGATGGCGAGGACTATTGGCATTCGATAGAATGCAATCGAGTGCGTAAGGGTGTGAGAGCGCGAGGGAGAGAGCACTGACCTACTCGATCAAAATATCGGTAGGCTGCGTGCCACTCACTAGCTGCCGCGCACAAAACAAAACGGGGGAGGGGAAGGGGGAAGCAGAAGCACAAAAAATAACGGGGGATGGGAAGGGGGATGCAGAAACACAAAAAATAACGGGGGAGGGGAAGGGGGAAGCAGAAGCGGCAGCAGTTGTGTTTATAAAGTCGAAAGTGAAATTCTTGTTGGTCTATTTAATTACCAGGTAGTGAAGTGGCGCTGCAGCAGCAGTAGTATTGTCCCGTCCACACACACAACAGCCGTGTAGTGTTGCAGCTCACTTGTTCGTTCTTATTAGCCAAACCCAAGGTGCCGCAGGCGTAACTGAAAAGTCACAAAATACGCTTTTAATCTTTGGTGCTTCCACGAAATATTATAAACCGCACTTAGTCTGCACGATCATCTGTATATTTCAAGACTTTTTGGGTTATTTTATCAAAGGATTACACTAAAAACTAATTTTTTATTTCGGCAATGAAAATCACACACACGCGGAAGAAAGATGGCGAGGACTATTGGCATTCGATAGAATGCAATCGGATGCGTGAGGGTGTGAGAGCGCGAGGGAGAGAGCACTGACCTACTCGATCAAAATATCGGTAGGCTGCGTGCCACTCACTAGCTGCCGCGCACAAAAAAAACGGGGGAGGGGAAGGGGGAAGCAGAAGCACAAAAAATAACGGAGGATGGGAAGGGGGAAGCAGAAACACAAAAAATAACGGGGGAGGGGAAGGGGGAAGCAGAAGCGGCAGCAGTTGTGTTTATAAAGTCGAAAGTGAAATTCTTGTTGGTCTATTTAATTACCAGGTAGTGAAGTGGCGCTGCAGCAGCAGTAGTATTGTCCCGTCCACACACACAACAGCCGTGTAGTGTTGCAGCTCACTTGTTCTTTCTTATTAGCCAAACCCAAGGTGCCGCAGGCGAAACTGAAAAGTCACAAAATACGCTTTAATCTTTGGTGCTTCCACGAAATATTATAAACCGCACTTAGACTGCACTATCATCCGTATATTTCAAGACTTTTTGGGTTATTTTATCAAAGGATTACACTAAAAACTAATTTTTTATTTCGGCAATGAAAATCACACACACGCGGAAGAAAGATGGCGAGAACTATTGGCATTCACTAGAATGCAATCGGATGCGTGAGGGTGTGAGAGCGCGAGGGAGAGAGCACTGACCTACTCGATCAAAATATCGGTAGGCTGCGTGCCACTCACTAGCTGCCGCGCACAAAAAATAACGGGGGAGGGGAAGGGGGAAGCAGAAGCACAAAAAATAACGGGGGAGGGGAAGGGGGACGCAGAAGGGCAGCAGTTGTGTTTATTAAGTCGAAAATAAAATTCTTGTTGGATGTATTTAATTACCAGGTAGTGAAGTGGTGCTGCAGCAGCAGTAGTATTGTCCTGTCCACACACACAACAGCCGTGTGGTGTTGCAGCTCACTTGTTCTTTCTTATTAGCCAAACCCAAGGTGCCGCAGGCGAAACTGAAAAGTCACAAAATACGCTTTAATCTTTGGTGCTTCCACGAAATATTATAAACCGCACTTAGACTGCACTATCATCCGTATATTTCAAGACTTTTTGGGTTATTTTATCAAAGGATTACACTAAAAACTAATTTTTTATTTCGGCAATGAAAATCACACACACGCGGAAGAAAGATGGCGAGAACTATTGGCATTCACTAGAATGCAATCGGATGCGTGAGGGTGTGAGAGCGCGAGGGAGAGAGCACTGACCTACTCGATCAAAATATCGGTAGGCTGCGTGCCACTCACTAGCTGCCGCGCACAAAAAATAACGGGGGAGGGGAAGGGGGACGCAGAAGGGCAGCAGTTGTGTTTATTAAGTCGAAAATGAAATTCTTGTTGGATGTATTTAATTACCAGGTAGTGAAGTGGTGCTGCAGCAGCAGTAGTATTGTCCTGTCCACACACACAACAGCCGTGTGGTGTTGCAGCTCACTTGTTCGTTCTTATTAGCCAAACCCAAGGTGCCGCAGGCGTAACTGAAAAGTCACAAAATACGCTTTTAATCTTTGGTGCTTCCACGAAATATTATAAACCGCACTTAGTCTGCACGATCATCTGTATATTTCAAGACTTTTTGGGTTATTTTATCAAAGGATTACACTAAAAACTAATTTTTTATTTCGGCAATGAAAATCACACACACGCGGAAGAAAGATGGCGAGGACTATTGGCATTCGATAGAATGCAATCGAGTGCGTAAGGGTGTGAGAGCGCGAGGGAGAGAGCACTGACCTACTCGATCAAAATATCGGTAGGCTGCGTGCCACTCACTAGCTGCCGCGCACAAAAATAACGGGGGAGGGGAAGGGGGAAGCAGAAGCACAAAAAATAACGGGGGAGGGGAAGGGGGACGCAGAAGGGCAGCAGTTGTGTTTATTAAGTCGAAAATGAAATTCTTGTTGGATGTATTTAATTACCAGGTAGTGAAGTGGTGCTGCAGCAGCAGTAGTATTGTCCTGTCCACACACACAACAGCCGTGTGGTGTTGCAGCTCACTTGTTCTTTCTTATTAGCCAAACCCAAGGTGCCGCAGGCGAAACTGAAAAGTCACAAAATACGCTTTAATCTTTGGTGCTTCCACGAAATATTATAAACCGCACTTAGACTGCACTATCATCCGTATATTTCAAGACTTTTTGGGTTATTTTATCAAAGGATTACACTAAAAACTAATTTTTTATTTCGGCAATGAAAATCACACACACGCGGAAGAAAGATGGCGAGAACTATTGGCATTCACTAGAATGCAATCGGATGCGTGAGGGTGTGAGAGCGCGAGGGAGAGAGCACTGACCTACTCGATCAAAATATCGGTAGGCTGCGTGCCACTCACTAGCTGCCGCGCACAAAAAATAACGGGGGAGGGGAAGGGGGAAGCAGAAGCACAAAAAATAACGGGGGAGGGGAAGGGGGACGCAGAAGGGCAGCAGTTGTGTTTATTAAGTCGAAAATGAAATTCTTGTTGGATGTATTTAATTACCAGGTAGTGAAGTGGTGCTGCAGCAGCAGTAGTATTGTCCTGTCCACACACACAACAGCCGTGTGGTGTTGCAGCTCACTTGTTCGTTCTTATTAGCCAAACCCAAGGTGCCGCAGGCGTAACTGAAAAGTCACAAAATACGCTTTTAATCTTTGGTGCTTCCACGAAATATTATAAACCGCACTTAGTCTGCACGATCATCTGTATATTTCAAGACTTTTTGGGTTATTTTATCAAAGGATTACACTAAAAACAAATTTTTTATTTCGGCAATGAAAATCACACACACGCGGAAGAAAGATGGCGAGGACTATTGGCATTCGATAGAATGCAATCGAGTGCGTAAGGGTGTGAGAGCGCGAGGGAGAGAGCACTGACCTACTCGATCAAAATATCGGTAGGCTGCGTGCCACTCACTAGCTGCCGCGCACAAAACAAAACGGGGGAGGGGAAGGGGGAAGCAGAAGCACAAAAAATAACGGGGGATGGGAAGGGGGATGCAGAAACACAAAAAATAACGGGGGAGGGGAAGGGGGAAGCAGAAGCGGCAGCAGTTGTGTTTATAAAGTCGAAAGTGAAATTCTTGTTGGTCTATTTAATTACCAGGTAGTGAAGTGGCGCTGCAGCAGCAGTAGTATTGTCCCGTCCACACACACAACAGCCGTGTAGTGTTGCAGCTCACTTGTTCTTTCTTATTAGCCAAACCCAAGGTGCCGCAGGCGAAACTGAAAAGTCACAAAATACGCTTTAATCTTTGGTGCTTCCACGAAATATTATAAACCGCACTTAGACTGCACTATCATCCGTATATTTCAAGACTTTTTGGGTTATTTTATCAAAGGATTACACTAAAAACTAATTTTTTATTTCGGCAATGAAAATCACACACACGCGGAAGAAAGATGGCGAGAACTATTGGCATTCACTAGAATGCAATCGGATGCGTGAGGGTGTGAGAGCGCGAGGGAGAGAGCACTGACCTACTCGATCAAAATATCGGTAGGCTGCGTGCCACTCACTAGCTGCCGCGCACAAAAAATAACGGGGGAGGGGAAGGGGGAAGCAGAAGCACAAAAAATAACGGGGGAGGGGAAGGGGGACGCAGAAGGGCAGCAGTTGTGTTTATTAAGTCGAAAATAAAATTCTTGTTGGATGTATTTAATTACCAGGTAGTGAAGTGGTGCTGCAGCAGCAGTAGTATTGTCCTGTCCACACACACAACAGCCGTGTGGTGTTGCAGCTCACTTGTTCGTTCTTATTAGCCAAACCCAAGGTGCCGCAGGCGTAACTGAAAAGTCACAAAATACGCTTTTAATCTTTGGTGCTTCCACGAAATATTATAAACCGCACTTAGTCTGCACGATCATCTGTATATTTCAAGACTTTTTGGGTTATTTTATCAAAGGATTACACTAAAAACTAATTTTTTATTTCGGCAATGAAAATCACACACACGCGGAAGAAAGATGGCGAGGACTATTGGCATTCGATAGAATGCAATCGAGTGCGTAAGGGTGTGAGAGCGCGAGGGAGAGAGCACTGACCTACTCGATCAAAATATCGGTAGGCTGCGTGCCACTCACTAGCTGCCGCGCACAAAACAAAACGGGGGAGGGGAAGGGGGAAGCAGAAGCACAAAAAATAACGGGGGATGGGAAGGGGGATGCAGAAACACAAAAAATAACGGCGGAGGGGAAGGGGGAAGCAGAAGCGGCAGCAGTTGTGTTTATAAAGTCGAAAGTGAAATTCTTGTTGGTCTATTTAATTACCAGGTAGTGAAGTGGCGCTGCAGCAGCAGTAGTATTGTCCCGTCCACACACACAACAGCCGTGTAGTGTTGCAGCTCACTTGTTCGTTCTTATTAGCCAAACCCAAGGTGCCGCAGGCGTAACTGAAAAGTCACAAAATACGCTTTTAATCTTTGGTGCTTCCACGAAATATTATAAACCGCACTTAGTCTGCACGATCATCTGTATATTTCAAGACTTTTTGGGTTATTTTATCAAAGGATTACACTAAAAACTAATTTTTTATTTCGGCAATGAAAATCACACACACGCGGAAGAAATATGGCGAGAACTATTGGCATTCGATAGAATGCAATCGGATGCGTGAGGGCGTGAGAGAGCACTGACCTTCTTAACCGAAATATCGGTTACCTAGGTCCCACTCAAAAGCTCGCTGATACAGCATCCGTGGGGGGGTCAGGATTGGTTTGCGGATTCAAAAACTCCGCTGGCTTCATTTATGTCTTGACCGCTCTTTTGTTTACGTCAACTAACGTTGTGAATTATACGTAACTAATATCCCCTGAAAGAGTCAACGGTTTGTTACGTAAAGGCAGAATTCATTGAACCCACTAAGACGTTATGCGAAGTTAGCGTTACAGTAGAGGCTTAGTACTTCGTGTCTAAGGTTTAGTGTTTTAGTGATTAATTTATAAAGAAAACACGTCATAATTTTGTTAAAGTTGTATTACACAAAATTTATTAAATATTTAATTGAATTAAATATTTTTTTTATTATTATTCGACAAAAAGTTTGTCAGTCAGAACACTACTCATGAGGTGTAGAAAAAACAAAAGTTCGTGATGCGATTGCACAATGGCCCGCCGCCGTCAGTCGGTCATCCCCGTCCCGTTCCATATCTTAACGGGCCCTTTCCCCCTAACCCTCTTGCAGACCATCGGAATGCCTTGTCTAGACGCTTTTAATTTGCGTAATCAAAACACAAAAGTAGCGACGACAATGAGGGACAAAAACAAAACACCAAAAACAAAATATTTCGCCCTAACATGGTGGCGAATAAAAAAAAAACAAATATAAAAAATCAAGAAAAGAAGAAAACCGTCAGCTAAACACAACAATAACATGTTGTATAAATAATGCAGCAAGAAACGGCAAAACTCAAGTACGACCACAGCAGCAACAACAACACAATTACAAATTAAAATGTGTGATAAATAAAAGTGAACGCTGGCGCCGTTGTTGCGAATAAAATTCTTAACCCAATTGCAAACATTAATAACAAAACAGAACGGCACAATGGAGATAGAGGGGGCGAATTGGCACGGTTTTCTTTTTTTATAGCATTTTTAACAATATTAAATCATTTGGTGGTTATGTGATCGAAGAAGGTGAAAAATGTAGTCAGTTGGATCACTAAATGACATCGAAAAGTAAAATAATTGAATTTTAAATTGTTGAGCATTGAAAATACAAGTAAAATTTGAATGTTGATATATAAAATGCTAAAATTATATTTTATTTTTTTATTATTATTTTAATATATTTACCTTGATTTTAGGCCGTCCATTTTTCGTAGACCAATTAAGGCAAATTGAACAATATACATACATATATGTATTTAATAATAGAAATATTATTATCCAATACAAATTATAAAATCGCCTTCACTTTTCGCCTTCTCGAAGCATACATAATCTTATAAAAAACTATTTATTCCCGCTCGCGTCCCTCAAGTTCAAAGAACCCATTCAAAAAGCTAAATGTTTCGAGTATTATCTTAGAACATTTACCTACCCCCAATGGCCTTGACCTTATCACACGTTAAATTTAAAACCATACTTTATTATAGCGGGTTAGAGAACCCAGTTGATTTGTCACTCCTTCTGGTCGGTCCTAATTATCATTTTAAGTGGCCAGTATGTTATAACAAGCCGAAAGATTAACTTTTACTACCAAAAAAGAACCTCGGCAAGCAACGGATTTTCGTAATTAAACCAGGTAGGCGTGCCTGGATAAATATTAGTGTGTCTTCCAAGAAAGAGTTCCGAAGACTACAGAAGAAGTCGCTGATGAATTGCATTTCCACTAGTTCTAAGAAATGTGTAATCTCAGATGTATGCCATTAGTTATGGCTGAAGTCAAGAACTGCCAATTGTTGTTTTGTAGTAAAAAATTGGTTTCGAAAAAAAAAACGTTCATGAAACCAGAGACTCTGCTGTGAAATTATTTTGGGTAATTAAATACAGGATTACTTTCTTTTCCTCACTCAATCCTTTGTGTAGAGGATAAAAGGTATGCAAACGTAATTGCTAGATTATTTTTCTTATTTGTATAAGACATGTAATATATAATTGAGCACGTCGCGCCATTTTTTTATGAACAATAAATTTCCCAGCTTTCCCACCAGCATTGACTACATCAAAGAATCACAATAGCTACAAAAAG